CACACAACAAAACTTAAAATAACTTATATAGCTGTTGTATTACTTATTTGAAATAGGATTTTCATGTAATAAAATTTCTCGGAAAAATATTCAAAAACATGAAATAAGAAATGACGCTGCCAATCAAACAGTAAAAAAAAATCTTTGAACAAATATAAATTTATTTTTATGGCTTCAATTTATATATATATAAAAAAAAATATTTTTTAAGATGATAATACCTTCTTAATACCCTCTTAATTCGATATAAAATTAGTATTAATGTATTTACCTTTTACAAAACAGTTTGTATATTTTAGGTAGATATACGTGGTATTACATTTATGTGATAATAATAAATACGTTCACTAAGAATAAACCGTCATTCGACCGCCAAAATTGTTACAGGACAATTGATGCTCATAACATAATGAGGGCTTTGGGGTTAAATATATTATTTCCTAAAAATATCAATATTGAGTTTTTTATCAATTTTAACTGTACTATACTGCGTACTATTTTTATATAAGTAAAAAAAAAAATACTGAATTTGGTAGGTGTATTATTATTATTTATTTAATATTGGACATATCGATTTTTCTTTTTACGAAAATAAAATATCCCGCAAACATAAAAAGTATATTATTTTATTATACTTATCAATTTGCACAACTGATAGTAAAACTCATAAAACTTTTATTTCCTATATAGTAATGTATAAATAACGCAGCATTCGCGCGACGAAAGTACACGTCACACATTAATAAGTTTTTGCTTAACCTTTATTCCTAAAAAAAGTTATGTCTCCAATAAAATAAAGACATAGTATAGGTACTTATATAGTACTTTTTGATTTAATACGTTTTTCATTGAAGTTTCTCCCTCGTCAATATCAAAATAGTATCATGATTGTCTTTGTGAGAGTAGGTACACGGTACACTAGTTGTTAATTAATTATTTATAATTTTATTATTCAAAAGGTATTTAAAATTTTTTAATATTAAAGAGAATTTTGAGTTTTAAAAATTATATGCAGGCAAAAAATAAATATTGGGAGACGGTAATAACGAATTAATGTTGTCTTATACGCAAGTCGGTAAATCATTTTTCGAACTTATTGACGTCATTAGCAGTTAGATAATAGTAAAATTCTAATATTGTTTATCATTAAACTTGTTGTATTTAGTCAATTTAAGTTTAAAGTTAATCTTACAATATGGTAAAGTCGTATTATTTTAGTGTATATAATGATTATGTACACTGGATACGCACGTCTACCTACACCGCAGCTATGACAACGTCTATGTTTCACAGTCATAAAGTAAATTTTTTATATACCTTTGCCGTGGGTATTGTAATAGAGATATAAATCCACCGTTGCCGGGTACACGTTCAAAGCGAATTCGCGATAAACAATATTGGTTTTACCAGTGGGTGTACATAAATTATCCATCTTGTTGTTAGTCTTGCCGATGACGTCTATATCAGATTAAATTATATAATGTAAATATATATATACAAAGGTGGGTATAAACTAGTTGGATTATTTTCTAATCAACTAATAAATTTAAGAAGTTTAATTGACAGCTGAAATAATTTAGCTTTTTGCAGTTGATATGAGAAATTTTTTTAAAAAAAATTATGAATTATAAATTGTATTGTTTTAATGTTATATGACCTTTAATTGCTCTATTATATAAAAATAATAATGTTTGTCAAATTATTAATTTGAGATGTGCATAGTTTAAATTAATAAATAATAAATCATGTAACACAGAAGGGTATTTACACTGTGCAATGTACATTATGGTAAAAATTCAATAAAATTATTTTTATAATTTAGTTAAACAGAAAGACATAATCATTTTTTATGTGATTTAAATACTGATTAAAAAAAAAATAGATTAACTTTTTTAAACTAAGTTAAGTTAATATTTTTTTCTAAATTAAATTTTAACTTATTGAGTTAAATTCATAATTCATTAATGGTTAACTTCTAATTTATCGATCTTGTATTCTTTAAATTTAACTTGAGTTTGAATATATAATATATATAAGTCACTTACACGGTCTTAGGATATACTGTAATACACATACTAAGTAGTAATAGTCACATCAAAAATTTGGGTATACATAGTAGAAAAAAGTAAATAAATTTATCAATATTTAAATAAATGATTAACTTAGTAAAATAGTAAATGGTTTCTTAACAATTAGATAAATAATTAAATTATATTTTCTGGATTATTTATTCTTTTATAAAGCTTTAATACGAATCAACATTAATTATATGAATATCTATATATTTTTTAATGTAGATGACAAAATTATTGATAGAACAAATAACATTGCAGGTTTGATGGTGGGTGAGAGGGGGTTTGCTTTACTTCCTTCGTGATCTCGTCAAATATTAGAGACTCTGCAGTTACACAGAATCCATACTGGCACCGAATCAAAATACGTCAGCTTATATAACACGGCGCGTCGAGTAGACAATTTAAAAACATGGTATAAATTTTTTTTAAATGATACACTACTGTACACGTCTCATCAGTTATCACATTAGAATATAATAATTATTACAGTATTCATATATAACATTATATTTATACATAATACATCAAAATGTCAGTCGCTCAGTTGATAAAGATTCGACAATAAAATAATACTATGCAGTAAGTCAGATTTTTTTTTGAAGGGGGCATTTAATTTTTTTCTTTAGTTTTTAAAATACTAGAATACTTACATGTTACATATTAATTTATTACCCCTATGTAATATGTTCATTTACTGTTAACTGCACATCTATTTTTATCTTACGACTGTACAATAATCATGTTAATGATTACTACCATTTAAAATTTACATAACAATGCATTAACAATATAGCAAATTAAATTTGTAAGCCATAGATGACCTATTTAATAAATAAGCATATTCATATTTTATTTTGAAAATGTGATATTTTATTTTTAATATTCGAATATTATTACCAAATAAGAATAAAAATTGAGACAGTAATTTAAAACTTTTAACTTTCATAAACATATAATATAATATAAAACAATTAAACAAATTCAAATGATTAAAAACAATAAAAGTCAGTTTGTAGTTTGTACACAAAGTCACGATGAACAATTAACTAGGGTATCAGAGTGTACTCGTGGTATATTTTTTGTTACGTTAAGGTATATATTAGATTAATTTAAAAAAATAAAAATATTATTGGTGTACCAGCTAAGGTCGTACTGGTAATTGTTCAACGTTTAATCTGGTGACTCCAATATAGCCCAATATTACACCATCGTGGCCGTCGATCCTTGCCAGGCGAAGAAGGGTAATTGAACTTAGGTTAATCTTTCGACTTTTGATATAGGCGATATATGTAGATGATATTATCGCACCACGGGGGGGCCATTGACAAAATTTTTTTATTAATTATTTTTAAAATATTAGATAGCTATTTTTAATTAAAATAAATGATTTTTGTATATTAATATTCGAACAAATTACTTGTCTAACACTTGTCATTTGAAAACATCACCTTCGAACTCATGATAGTTCCGCTTGGTGACCATGACACTGACAATACGTTTTACGTGGCATGATGTCCTAATGGTGTCGCCAACTATTATACCATGCAAGCGCGTATACAAGTGAAGTTTTTTTTGTGTCTGTCCATCACCAATCCACTATATGCAATTTTCTTAAAATTGCATGGTGTGGGTGGATAAAGAGTATTAATATTTCATCAATACTGTTTGTGCTTAAGAAGTGACACATTCAGGATTTTGTTGTCCCTCTTATCTCTTGCAGTACAAGTTAGTACATTTTATGTTCAATATTTAAATAAAATTTATAAAATTGAAGTATTTCTTAATTTTGTTTAGTTGTTAATTGTTATGAGGAGAAGGGAATATCTAACTACTAAAGAAATGGTATACTATAATCGTTTAAATACAAAATTTAATTTTAGATAAACAAAATTTTATCACATTTAACAAAAAAAATAATTAAAATACTGATGATTTAACTACCTACTTAAAATAACTAATTATTCATAATTATAATAATAATAAAGTTGCACCAAAGGCTCTGATGCGATTTGATTTGTTTCTTGCGTACAAAATATAAGGTAATATAAATAATAATAAACAACACATAAAAATAATATTAAAATATCCATAAACGAAAAAAAAAGGCATATAAAAAAAAATAATACACAACATACTTTGACTTTGTTTGTATAATATCTGATTGCACATAATGTTAATGGTTGGTAAAATAAAATAATATTATCACATTTTATGAATGTGGACACGAATCGTGAAAACAAATACATAAATGGTAAAAATGAAATAATAATAATTAAAAAATAAACATATTGTTTTAGTTGACATTTCTTGGTATGTTTGTGATATTAATTACATGAAAATGTTTTTGATTGTATCAATAACAATAATTAATGTTATATACCAATTTGAACAAGTAACATTCAATCATAAAATATACACAATATATATTTACAATCACCAAGGAATGCCAAACATACACATATATATATATATAAATATATAAAAAAAACATTGAACATAAAAATAAAACATAATATGACTTGGAAGATTAACTAATTGCATAATATACATAATAAATCTATTAAAATCTTAAAACAAGGTTATAATGTACCGTAAATAATATTTTAAGTTATTCATGATGTATTTTTCAATTATTTCTAAGAAATAGTTACTTATTGTTCCAAGTTTTTGTCAAATGGAAATCTAAGTAGATTTTTTCAATAAAAATATTTTACTTTATTGGTCTATATTTTGATTAGTCTTTTATTTAATATATTTAAACAGAAATTTAACGGCACATTTGAAAAAAACAAATGAATTGTAGTTGATTTTTTTTTTTACAAACACTTAAAATTGATCATATGATATGATAATTCAATGACACAAATTGAATTAGTATAAAAATAAATGCTTATTAGAAAAATTAGGATTAAAGATCAATGATATATATTTAAAAAAATAAAAGTAAAACATAAGACATTTTCTAAGACAGTATCTTTTTAATAATAAAGATTTTTTAAACTATGTAAAATATTTATATATCACTGATATTCTACCCCATACATCTGTTTAATAACTAAACTTGGAATTTTTTTATTGTCTAAAAAAAAAAAAATATATATTATTATCTAAAAATCAAATAAGACATTAATATTTCACATAATAAAAAAATGTTTTCCTTATTTTATTAGACACATAGTAAAATAGCTAGATCAGTCATCAGTTTTCAATTTAAAACGAAGCTCATTATATCCTATAAACAGGTATTTATATGTATGGATACAATAAGTAGAAATTGTTTTATTGACTATAAATAGTATAGACTAATGATGACTTTTATTTTATATTATTAGTGTCCATGTTATCACAATATGTCAATGAATATAGTATACTGTATAATGTTAATAGCACGTAAGTGTACCTAACTTAATATATTACATTCAAAATTTCATATAGGATATAATTTTGAGCGTTTAATGACTATATTGAATTTGTATAAAAAAGGAAAAGCAAATGTGTATATCAGATACATAACATATTATGTATTTAAATTCTAAGCCATACATTATATTATTATTATTATTATTATTTTTTTTTTATAAGGGAGAAAAATTACTTTATAAATTTTTTATTATACAAAATATAATATTAAATATAATAAGTATAACTCATATTATAACATGTAAATATCACAAGTGTTTTCACTGAATCCTTTTATTTTGTTATTATTTTAGTGCTTTTCATAAAAAGTGTAAATTTCTGGGCAAGGATAAAATAGTCACAAAATAGAAATACTTAAGATTCAATTATAAGTATTTTAAAATTGTCATGGATTTTATTAATTATGATTCTGATTTGTTCGGTGGTAAATAAGGTATTTTATTTTTATTTTAAGTAGATATTTTTGTTCATAAGAACTTTTAAGTAAATATTTTGATACCTAAAATGTATATATGTATATGTAAACAAATAACACTTGATTAAAATAAAGAGTAAAAAATTAGATTACGTTATCTTGAGCTAGCTTGCCAGTGAAAATTACTCTTCATTGTCCATTGTTGGCTACGTGAACCATCACATTCATTTAATATGGCAGCATACTGATCAGCAGACATTGAATGCTCCAAACATTGATCTGTGGTTTTATGTTTTATTGTCATCTCCTAAAAAAAATAAATTATTGATTAGCCAAATAACTATAACTACAAGTTATTTTATTAACATATTATATAATCAAGAATATTTAGCAAATTTACTTTTGAATCATAAACCCATGCTTGATTGCCCTCAAGACCATGGCATCTAATTAGACTAACTGGTCCGACAATGTTGGAAGCATCTAAACAATTATCATCAGACATAATTTGTGATCGTTTAGTATATGCGAAAACCTGTTAACACGTTTAAAGATTAATATACTAAGTTTAAAATATATAATAAATTTATTGATTTACTTGATTGCCACCAAGACCATGACAATAACTCATGCCAACTTTTTCACCACTTTTTCGCGACATTGTATCAAGACATTGTTGGGAGTCAACATTTTTTATCTGTACAAATAAATGGTATTATTAAACAGTGAGCTGAGGTTAATATTTTATTTACTGACTTCTCCTAGATAATAGTAATCAAGTGGCATTTGCGATTCTGGATAAATGTTTTCCAAATACCAACGGAAAGACTTGCACTTTAATTTTTCTCTTAAAGCCAAACGTTCAGAAACATCTCCAACCTCAACATTAGATGCACCTAATTATGAAAAAATGTTAATACACATAGATACTTTTAATTTATTAGTTATTATTTAATAGGAATAAATAATTAAAAATAATATACAAAATATGCAGATAACAATAATTATTTAATTATTATGCTTTACTCAATAAACAATGTGATCAATAGATATCATGCAATAAAATAAAACTACAAACCATAAGGCCATTAGTTTATGAAATGTACAACATGCATTAAGTGCTAGTTTTATCTAATATAACTAAATTTACTAGATTTAGGACAATTGGCCCTCACGATAAACTGTATGCAGACAATTATCCTCCTCCCTGTCATAATTTTATACTTAAGACAATATTGGTTCATTGTGTGGATTTTTCCTTGCGATATATTAAACATTTTTTTTATTTTTTTTATTTGGGTATCCCAATTTTATTTATGTGGTTGATATTAAAATAATTTATTACTATTTCCAATATGTACAAAATAAATATACAGACATACAACAAGATGTATTCAACATTTACAATATATAATAAAAATGAACCAACAAGTTGAATAATTGATGATAAAATACATAATATTTATGAAGGGAAATATGAAGAGCAGACAGGGTAGGATCCACTTAAGAATGCAAATTATCAATTGTCTAGGAACACAATTATGACAAAGGGCCAATTGTACACAACTTACTATGTTTTTTTATGTGGACCATTTTTTTCCGTTTATTTAATTTACCATATGAATGTAATCTATGATAAAATCTATTATAAAATTAATAAGTCAAATATAGATATAGCTAAAAGGATAAAATTATTTCAAAATCTTTATACATGCATAATGATTTTTGAATACATTAACAAACTGTAGGTGGGATTTTTTGTTAATTAAATAAACATTCAATGAAGAACACAATGAAAAATAGTGATTAAATAATAATTAAAAACAATTTTGTGTTTAAGATATGAAAAATAAATAAGATAAACATTCATAACTACGTAGTATGGTGTGCTAAGGGTGTAGAGAAAAATGTCAAATTATCAAAATAATACGTGTAGAGTGTTCGTGTGCTTGAAATATTTTCAATCACATATCAGTAGAAGGGGTACCTGGGTTTATGGCGTAGTAAAAATGTTTCCACTCATCCATCCAAACCTCAGCGAGGCGGGCATTGTTGTGGTTGACTATATGTGACGTGCCACCAGGGAAAGTGTAAGGTGTGGATTTGCGAAAAACATGACCAACATGTGAGCATGGCGATATTTCCAAAGTGCCGCCACACATCCAAATCTACGAGTGATCATTTCAATAAAGATAATATTGAAAGAAAACTCTTGGTTCATGTTGTATATGAATATAGATATATGTATTTAGACAGACAAACACACACACAATATATCCATTTCCTACCCCTCTCTATCAATTATAACACACGAGTACACAACAATAAATAAGTACAAGTGAGGACTGTATGAATTCATACAGAATGCATGGAGGACTGTGTAACCTTATCAATTTTATATTTCATATTAATAATTTTAATATTTTTAAAATTTAAATGTTATATGATGGGAGTAATTATATTTAAACCAGCAAGCAACATTAATTAGGTTAGACAGATGTTTTATGTTAGTAAATTTTAGAAAAGCGGAACGAATTTTCACAGGTCACATATATTGTCCTATACCTGGATTCATTGCATAATAGAAATCTCGCCATTCGTCCATCCAAACCTCAGCAACACGGGCTGCATTGTGTAACACGATTTTCGATACGCCTCCCGGAAATGAGTATGGCGACTTGTCACGAAATACGTGACCTACGTGTGAACATGGTATTATTTCCAGTGTGCCGCCACATTGCCACACCTAGAAATATCCATATCAACTACTTTTCCCCCATAACTATATTTCTTTAATAGAACATTTAATTTTTGCATTAAACCCAATTTTCAAATCAAATATCTGTACGGAAATTATTTATAATTGACAAGTTATTGATTAACCAGCTTGAAATGAAATTAAATTAAATGATTTATTTCACTAGGAATTATTGTACACAATACTTACTCTGAATGACATTTCAAGATTCTCACCACCCCATATATCCATTCCTTCATCATATGAACCTAATTCATAAAAATAATCTTTGTCTATAGAAAATAGTCCACCAGCCATCGTAGGAGTTCTTAATGGTGCTGTACGATCTTGGTTACGTCGTGACATTTCTCTTTGAGGAACTCGATACCTAAAATAAATATTTAAAATATTAAATTTAATTAAAAATACTCAAATTTTTAAAATACGTACCACCTAAAATTTAATTTCCAATTGAATCCACCCCAGGTCATATCAGATGCAGTAACATATTCAAATGTGTCATCTGATATAACATCAATTACTGGACACACAACAGTTTTTCTAGAAAAAAAAACAGTCAACTTGCAGCTTTCATTTTATACATAAAATCAAAATTTACTTATCATTATTATGAATTATTATGAATTATATTTTTTTTTTTGTATATTACATTTATAAAAATGTATTAAACTATATAAAATTTATTTATAAAAAATAATTAAACATACCGGTTTAGTACAATTCTGGCTAGAAGTGGTTCAAGCCAACCATCAGCACATTCACAATGTGCATCCAAAAATGTTATCACTTGGCCTGTAACATGTTTGGCTCCAAGCAATCGAGCTCTTATCAAACCAGAACGTTTTTCTGTTCTTAGTACTTTAGTTTCTACGGGAAGAGTGGCAACATAGTCTTCCAATTTTTTTCCCAAAAAATCTGAAATGGAAAAATTATATAAATAGAGATCACATTCTGTCTTCCGCATTTTTACAACTGAAATCACCTCTTTCGCTAGCATCATCTACCAACAAGATCTCTTTTAAGAGAGATCGAGGTGATCGGTTAATGACACTCCATACAGTCCTCAAAAGAGTGGACCACGCTTCATTGTGGAACACAATCACTATTGAAGTGGTGGGCATCAATGAGGGATATTGTTTACTTTTACATTCTGCTTGTCTTATGTCTTGCAAAGATCGATTTAATGAGATCATATCGCTAGCTATTATGTTAAACTGATTCTCTTTGAATTTTTGTTTCATCAAGGCTTCTTGTTCAGGTTTCATTGTGACACCTCGTCCTCCTTCACCGTGTTTACCGCGCTTTTCACGCACTGGAGGCATTGGCTTCCAACGCATCAACAGGTGACTAGGATATGTCGTGTCATCACTATGATCGCCACTGTGCTTGAAACGCTCAAGCATGTTGTCCTGCACAGGTCCCCACCCCATGCGTGGTGCTGCGGTGACGTCAAACACATCATCAGCACTGTTGTCGGAATTACTTACAGAGGTGCTTTTTGCCTTGCAATTAGGACCAATGCAATCGGTGTAGTACATGAGTATCATGATGTCGATGAAGATCCACAGCAGCGACGTGGCAACGATTATCTTGCAAGTATGCAGACGAAACTTGCTGCGAAACATGACGGCGGAACGAGTTGGAGAAGAGATAGAGAGCAAAAACTTTCCTAGTCTACCTGCGCACAAACAGCACTATCATAACAGCACTAGATCGTCCTGGCCAGTGTCCGGAGGTGACGGTTGAACGCGACGGCAGAATACCGCCAATGTCATGTATATGCGTATACGCGAGACGGACGTCTGTAGAGCGATCGGTAAGTAATATGTTGTAGTCGCCGTCGATTCAGAATGGCATCGTAGTATAATGTTCGTATTGAATAGCCGCCGACGTCATTCGTTTCACTGTAATGAAGGTAATAACTAATAACTATTATAGAGTAATTTATATAGTAGAAACAAGTAACGCAGAATGCAGATGAGAACACATCACCAAAAACCACTATCACTGGTTTTGAAATATTATTATTATTACTATTATTATTATTATTATTGTGTACACAACGTAGGTTTTATAGGTTAGGTCCATACAGTACGCGTTCGCCGTCTTTTGATCATTCTTTAATGCTTACATGGTTTTAAAATACTCTATCGCCTGTATTTTAAATGTGGTCTATATTCTGATGCTATTATATTATCTACATTCTATAGGTATCGCTGCGTGCCTGTGTATATTCGGAAAATTTAAGCAGTAGCTTCTGTATCTTTTCATTTTTTTTTTTTTTTATTGTCTTTGGAAAATATCAACTTTATTTGAAAAGATAGTAAATGTCATAATATTAACACCTTCGAAGTGGTCGAATATTCCTACTTCCAAGCTTTCCCCGACTAGTCTGACTCTTCGAAATAATATTTTATTCATTCTTATTCTTTATTTCCACAGTTCGGAGTAGAATAAATCTGCTGCGAAGACAGATTTATGTTTTATTTGTTTCACTTTGGTTTTTAACGTCTGACTACATCTTATAAAATATCTCGTGAACTAAAAACAAATACTATCAGACGATTGCCAAGGAAATTAAGGGTTGTAAGAAATTGATCATAAACTGCTAATAGTTATAATTGAAACATTTGAAATTCTTATGTTATTATTACATATATAGTAAATATTTTATAGCCATTCAATGAAATCCAAGTTCGTCGTCGGACATGAGTTCACATGATTGTTGAACCTAATTCTAACGAATTTTTTGTAAAAAAGTTAAAATCCCTATAAAAAAAAATAAATAGTTTTTCCTTCAACCTTTAGTAAAAATATTAATTGTACTTATTCAAGTTGTCTGTGGAATGTTTAAAACAATTAAGTGATTAATTGTTCATCATTCTTTATAAAAAATAAAAAATCTCAATTAAAAACGATTTAAATGAGTTTCAGTCTTCTAAATTATTTCTAGTGCAATAGAAGTCTGTAGTTTCTGCTGTTGAAAATTGTATTCAGTTACACAAGTCAAATGTGTAATTGAGCCATTATCGTTATTACTTATTACTTAATAATAATTCGTTAATTAATAATCATCATCAACACTTTGTTGTAAACAAAATGGCGGATGCACATATAATCGTTTATAAAATGGGTTTTGTGCTTATGACGCACGAAGTCTTGTATCTTAAGAACTTAAACCTTAGACTATATAAAAATGTTCATATTCAAATCGTACAATACTTGTTCTAATGGAACGCGGCAACTTGTGCTGCTGTTCACCAACGACACGTAACCGGTTCTTGATGACTGCTCTTTTTGCGCCTTTACATAATTTGTAGGTTAACTAAAGCCGAACTGATAAGTGATAACATGACAAACTAATAACAAATATTAACAACTATAATATAATATTAATAACGATGTTTTGATTTGCTTTAAGTCTAAGACGTGACAAAATAATTATAAAAAATTAAAATATATAAGTAAATATTTGCAGCGATAATTGATGCCATTGCGCCAACATATTCATTTGATAATTGGTTTAAAGAAGTATTTAAAAAATCAATATACTTGTTATTGTTTATGTAATTGTTCAAATTATTAGTTTAAATCATACGAGATGAACGTTTACGAAAGTGTTGTAAGAGGTACTCAAGCTAGTCGGTTAATACTCATTGAAGGTGAGACAACGATACAATTAATACAATTTAACTATTTAAATTTATTTATATGTGTATTGTGTATTCTTAAACTAAGTTAGTAATTTATATTTGAATACTATAATAATATAAAATAGGGATGTGAAATTGGAATGTAGTATTACGGAACATTAACTGTAAGATTTAAATTAAATTCCTTAGTATTTTAATTATTTGATATTTTTAATTTATGATATAAAGTTCCATATAATTAAAAATAATTATGTGTTTATATTATAGAGGTTGATTTACATCATACTAACCTAAAAGTCAGTGATGAACCATGATATACAAAATATACTTTAGTTCCTACTTTCGATAGCTTTAATGTAATATATATTATAGTTCATAATTATGACTAAATATAATTTTTGTATTAACATTTTTGCTTACCAATATATATCCAACTTCTTATAACCCACTCATCCGAACAATTTCTATTATGATGTCATAAAACTCCATTTACAGTTTAAGTAATGGTGTGTAATTAGTTCTTTATAGCTGATTAAAAATAGTCAATGTTCTTGTATTGTATAAAACTAAATTATCTTTTATCTTAAATGAAACTTTTAATTTATGAATATTTTACATATTTATTATAACCAATAACATATTTTGACTGATTTTTCTGGGCATGTCCAAAATATTCTCTGAAATATGTCGTTGAACCTAATAAGATTAATTCACTTGTGTAGTTTGAATATAAATATTTTGTTAAGCATAAGTAAAATACTAATACATTGGGCTATTTATTTTTTTTAAATTGAAAGTGTATAGACATAAGACACTTTCCCCCTATATATGCCACTGATTATAATAGGTTATGATTTATGACTATTGGTAATATTATCAAAGCATAGCAGTTTAGATTTAGTTAATATTTATTGATTAAAGAATAAATGATACATCATAAGTCATAACTTTTCCATTATTAACTCACTTGTTATTTTACTTAATCTTAGGTAGATTGTTAATTTATAAATTGGTTTTTAGTTTTTACTAATCAATATGTTTTATTTTCTATTAAATATTGCTTGTGTTGTAATTGAACATGCGCTGCCATAGAAAAGTAAATTATTAAAATAAGGAAGGAGAGATACAAAGTTTAAGCTGAGTATATCATTTAATAATTTTAATAATGCGTATAATATACTTATACTTCAATATTAATTAGGAAGTTCATTGTTTATAAACAAATTATAATACTAAAATTATTATAAAAAAACATACACATGTACTTATTTTATTATATGATGCCAAAACAAAATGTTATAATAATTAATATTTTATTAACAGATTGTAACTTTATTTTTTTTGCAGATTCATATTTAGCTAAAGGACAGTTTCTATTACATCTTATATCAGCAAATCGTAAATCTTACAACATTCATGTACTTTGTTATGAAAATTTAGTGCCCAAATACCAAACTTTATTTCCTTCTTTGTCTAATATTCAATACCATGATTGTATGACTAACATTTTGTCTTTAAATTTAAGTATGTATGAAACTGTTTCAAATATAATTGAAAAATCAACCAGAAATATAGTCATTTTTATTGATTCATTATCTCTATATTTACTTAGAACTGAATTCAGTAAAGCATATAAAGAATTATTGGATATCACATCATCAGATAAATGTAAATTTATTTATTTTTATTATCATCATTACTTATTAATCATATTATGATAGATAACTTAGTAACTTGTTTATAAATTATAAATAGTGTTTGATTTTTGCTATAATATGATTTTAGTTTCTAAAATTGTACAATGTGTGGCAGTGATACACAATGATGTAACAGAACTTAATCAAATTGAACACTTGAAAAACATATGTAAGACTCATGTACAAGTACAAAGTACTAACAATCCGTTACTTTTAAAGCTAAGATTAGAACATAAAAGGTCAAATGGTAAATGTGTAGTTCAGGTAATTGTATAATTTACAGTTATATTTTTCATTCTTTTAATTATTTTATTTTATTTAGAAATTAAAAGGTGAATTAAAATCTGATTGCTCATTTAAACTAATAAATGACTTGCCGCCTCAAAAAGTCGTAGAAGATAAAGGCATACCAACAAATTTAGCTAGTTTTAAATTAGATTTGCAAGACAATGAGAAGAAAGCCAAGGAAGAATTAATTTTACCTTATACTCTGTATGTTAAATGCTTTTGTAGAATTAAAATTATATTTTAATTAATTCATATTTATAAATTTTTAGCGTGCAAAATACATCCAATACTGGTGGAATGATTCATTATGTTCCAGATGAAGCAGATGACTGGGATGAGGAAGATCCGGATGATGACTTAGAAATATAACATCATATGATATAGTTTATAAATTGTGTTATGCAAATAAAATATGTATGCATTTTGTTATGATAATTTGGTATATTTTTGAATTGTTTTATAACAATTATTTTTATCAAATTATTGTAAAAAATAAACCTAAATGTTTATTTTATTCTTTAAAAGAATCTTCTAAAACTATATGTTAATGCAACAATATCATTTCTTATAATTTTTTTAAAAATAATTATGTTGATGAGCTTGCGTTGTTAAATCTATTAATGATTTAAATTTTTCGTTATCTATTTTTAAATGATCTTTGAATTTGCAGTTAACATTTTTAAGATAAATACTTGAAATTAAAAATAACATTACAGTTATTATAAATTTGATTAGTACCAGTCAAATGTTAAAGTAATAAAATATCTTAAAATTTGCATGTTTTACAAATTTTTTCAGTATTTTTTTAGTATTCACATATATTGTATACAATTGAACAAATTAAAAGATGTTATTTCATTAATTAAGTTAAGTTATTTTTTAAAAAACTAGTTTGCCAGGATAATAGAAAATAATAAATTATGTTGAAATTGTGAGAATTCTTAGAAAATATAATTTAATTACTATTAATTGCAATTTTAACTAACTTTCCTTACACAGGACAAATTTCCAGTTTTCACATTCAGTATATTGAATAGACCTATTCAAATATTTTCAGCTAGATAAGTAACTATTAAATTTTGTTCAAAGTTTAATTTCAGTTTAATTTAAAAAGAATGCTTTTAATTTAAAATTAAACATACCTATTTTGGACAGCTGTACAATATTATAATTCAACTGTAATTGTGTCAAAGTATTCAAATATTTATTCTAACAGGTATTAAAAAATGTATTTGATTTAATTTAAACTATACATTTTTTCCCTTAAATTGTTGTCAGTTTTTGAATGGTTAGAAATTGATAATTTAGTAGGTACCAACAGCATTGATTATTTTAAACATTATTATAGGCAAAAACTGGACATTTATATTATGGTAGACCAAAATATTTTAAAATTATCCTCTTCTTTCGCTAAAAAAATATTAGCTATTCAAAATTGTATATTTTTTAATGTTATAGAAGAACTTATTACCTTTTTAATTAATATTCTGACTTCCGAGCTTTGTTTTTTGTAATAAGATTTAATATAAGTACTTATCAAATGAAAAACTATGAGGTAAATAAGAATAATTTTTACCATGATCTGATGGTCAAATAAATGATTTTTAATCATTAGATGAAATATTTTCAATTTAAAAGGTTTTCATAAAATATAACTCTTCTTTCAGGTATCTAATACATCCATAGGAAGAGTTTTTAGTATTGGAACGAGGAAGCACAGTGTTTACAAAAAAATTTAGTCTTGTAAACGACAGAAATTTGTAAAAATATAACTAAAATTTAATTGATCATGAAACAGTAAATACTAATAATAGGTACACCATAAATACAACACTTATTAGTTATTTGTAAATGTATTATATTGATGTATATTTTATTACCAATGATAAAAGAATATACTTTAATATTATACTATCTTAAAGTATTCATAGGCAAAACTACGGGTCAGGCAGGTCAGATCATGGGCTCAGAAATGATACAGACGGAATACATAAAATAATATGGTATTTAAAAAAACTAAAAGACCCTTTTTGTGGTTATTTTTCCGAAAAACGATACAAATATTTTTTCATCACTGTTTACAATAATAATACATAACATGGAATAAATAATATAGCTTCTTTTTTCTGATGTAGGTAATTATTTAATAATTTATAAAAAATAAAAATAGGTTTTTTTAAATATTTTATATTTATCAACAAATGAAAATTATTTTTAGGTATTTTTATTTCTTTATATATTTATTTCAACTTGATACGTAGATACTATGTTTGGTTGTAGGTTGTAGAGGGATTTAAACATTATGTTTTCGTCAAAGTGTCAAACATATGATAATGTATGAAAATAAGTAATAAGAAAAGCCAGTGTTTAAAAGCCATATTTTCGTTGTGGTGATACGGTAGGTATCCGCACTACAAATAGCTGGTTGTGGCATTTAATAATTATCGGTATATCTTTTTTTGAAATTCAATGTGAAGCTTGAATTTATTATGGAGGTATGGCTAAAATAAAAAAATAAAATATTAATATCTTATAAGTTATAAGTAGGTACCTAATATGTATGATGTATCCATGTAGGATTGGTAGAATATTTTGAACATCAGATAAATTGGAAGGAACAGTTGTGACTTGCAACATGTATTTCATTGTCATTATTATGACCCCCCACTCCCGAATCTGGATATTAAATCCTATTGGATTTATTTTTTCTCTTAAGGTACCTATATAAAATTTTAAAATTTGAATTGTTAAATATAGACAATTATTTAAGTGTTATAAATAGTTTGTTATTTTAATATCTAATGTTTAATCGTCTTGCTGAATGCGTAAATTTGCTGAATTTTATACTTGTGATGACTTTTTTTATTGGTCTTATAACCCCTTCTTCCACCCAATGAAAATAACGTCTTGACTATATTCTTCCCTTACATGTTGATATCCATCTCTACTATATTATCTTATTCACATCATACCAGTCGTTTTTATGTTCACAATGTCATCTGGCGTCAATCACACGTCTTACCAGTTACTCTATCCCAAGACTAGCCATTATACATTACTAAATAATTCCTACTATTGAACTGGTATAGCTATAGAATAAATAATGCATTATAATTTATAATGTATCTGCGAGCATAATAATAATATATTTTATTAAATAAAATAATATTCTCAGTTCACGTTGCATAGAGTTCCGTCCGATACCACCGGCCGCGTCCGCGTATAATCTTTATCCTTTCTTAATATACTTATAAAAAACAGGCTTTTTTTATGTTACCTACCATTTTTTGACGACACTATTTAACATTTTTCCAATTTTTTTTCACAAGGTAGTACCAAATACTCCTACGAGCGATCTATTATTCAAAATTTAATTTTATTCGTCATTACAATTTACAGCCATTTTGAGAAAGCACGAACTTCACACGGGCGAAACCGGGTAGTTCAGTTATGTATATTATTATGATATATATTATATTACATTAATATTAATATCATAGTTGCCAATCCGTCGTCGTCATTCGATAGCGCTCGCGATGCATGTGCCCCTGGTACACGGTGGACTCGTTATGTGGAAATTTCGACGGACGGTTCGGTCTTCTGTTCGACGCGGTGACGGACGCTCGCACGCCGAACGGTCCGCTGCATACGGTCCTGGTCCTCAGAACGCGGCTTGTCCCGTGAATATTGTAATAACCGATCACTTCCGGCCGATAAATATCGTAATTCCTGTCAATAACAATTGTTTTTTCCGCCGTCGGATCCGTAACAATAATCGCGGTTACGCAAAATTAATACGCAATTATCGACATCACAGGAAACGGGCGCAACGTCCGGCGATTGAAGTCGGCCGCTGACGGTTTTCTCGGCCGATAGACGCCCGAGATCCGAGACCGCCCATGTTATGGGACACTGGTCGTCTCGTCGGTCGTTTGAGCGGAGCGCGTGCCAAACGCCGGTTCGGCGATACCGACGACCAGACTGCTTCGGCGAACGTCGCCCGCACCGCGGTCACTCTGTCGTCGTCGCTTACGACCGCTCTGGTATACTTAAAGCTTACCAACGGATACCGACCAATCACAGCAGAGGATTTTTGTACACGTACACGAAAACGTTAACGTAGGTATACCTACTACGCGTGTGTAGTGACAAGCGACGACATTGATATAATGTGACAAATCCGCGTACTTACCGGTTTCTAGCAGGTTAGTGGTTAGTGGTTAATGTTTTTCTACTGACCGTTCGTGGACTCCGTATCCGATGGAAGGCAATTTATCTCGTTACCGGGATTTGTCGTAGAGTTTAAGAGAGAACGAGCGAAGAGTTTTTTTTTTTTATCTTTATATTTTTTTTATTTTATGACTTTATATACAATACAATGATTTATTGCAAGCGAGTGCACGAATAATTATTCAAAATTCATAGAATTCGTTTAAAAATAAATTTAACGCGACAAAAAACTCTTCGTTCGAGCACAGTTTATGTTAATTATTCTCTTTTTTTTGCGGGATTTAGAATTCTTGTAGTTCTACGATATTATTTAAATTTGTTCCAACATGTGCGATACGACCAAGTGCGCTCATAGAAAAATTCTCAAGGGGGGTAGGGCAAAACTTTAATTATGTCCACGAGATAGTAAGGGGTTTACAATTTAACATTATACTATTATATTTTATATATCAAACTGGAAGATTATGAAATAATAATTATTTAACCAATTAACCATAAAAGTTATTTATTGAATTTGCATTTGATTAATAACATACATTTATTAAAACATAAATTTACAAGTAAAAATTGTAAATTTCTTTTTTTAACACCAAATATATTTATTATTTGTTCTATGTATTCATTTGTTTTATCATCATTTTTTTCCTTATGTATGCTTATCATGCACAATCCATCAAGTCTATCTTCATTCATTGTAGATCTTGTGTAAATAATTTTTTTAACATTTTCTAGGAGAGGGACATGACCCTCCCTTGCTCTTCCATATGGGCGCCCTTAGATACGACGTTCTTTTAAGTAAAGAAACCTTATGTGGAAAATGTATTAATTAATTGCGTGCTTATTAATGTGTGCAATGTTTGCTACCATTGGTGTATCCAATTTGATAATACTGCTTCTTCTTCATTATTATTTTCTGGATGTTGACGTAAAATTATTTAAGTTAGGAACATAAAGCCATAAGAATATTGAGTGTACTCACTTAAATTAATTTTAAAATATGTTTTAAAAACTGTAAAATGATGAAATTTGCTTAAATATGCACTAAAAAAATTCATATTTTTAATCGCACTTCTATGAAATATGTGTTGTGCCTGGTGTTTATCAATAAAAATATGAAAATATTACAAAGTGAAGCCCTAAAAAATTAGCGTATTATTGATTAATGATTTCCATTAGTTTTTATCTTATTTCTTGGCAATAGCATC